TAGATTGTAATAGTAAGTAGTAGTAGTTAGTATATCCTATATATATATATATATATATATATATATATATATGTGGGAAAAGATGAGATTAGCCCACTAGCTCACATGAACATATAAGCCCAACGTCCCAAATTGATTCTGATCCGATCTGACGATCACAGATGTCCGATAGCATTTGAATTTTAGTTTTTTTTATACAAATCCAAATCACTTGAAATTTTTGGCGTGTATTCATAAAAAATAGGCGAATCTTCAAAAATATCAAACAAATATTTTACATGAAATAAATTGATCAAAATACCCCTGAAAAGATTCAAGGGGTATTTTAGCTATTTTAATTTTCACGGATAATTTTTTTATATACTTTTATTAGGTGCACCTTGATGAAAAGAACACGCACCTAAAATTTCAAATAATTTGGATATGTAGAAAAAAAACTAAAATTTAAACACTACCGGACATCTGTGATCATCAAATCGGCCAAGATTCAATCGGGACCGTTGAACTCATTTGTTCATATGAGCTAGTGGGTTAATCCCATCTTTTCCCATATATATATATAAGCAATGATTTCATGCAGCCGTTTTATAGTAATATGATGCAACAACCTTAATAAACCATCGTATGTCCCTTTGTTTGATCCAAATTTTGAAATATATACTATTTTTATTCTAGTGAACAATTACAAAAAAAGAAAATTTGAAAAAAAGAACCTAGAAAGTATTTTTTTAGCCTAATTAACAAGGGCCGTTTATTTTGGTGAGATGCTTGGATTTAGATCTTAGAAGGATTTTTTCATTTCCAATTTTTTTGGATGGCTTTATTATCACTAGATGAACAATGTTAACAAAGGAAAAAATGATTTTGAATTTATAAAGGCTAAGATCTTGAAATTCACAAAATGAATGGTCTAGATTGGTTTTTGGAGGGGATTCATTTTGCCCATATCTAGGGTCCAAATTGAAGTTTTTTTTTTTTTTAGGATTGATTATTGAGATGAAGAGAATATATGTGCAAAATTTGGGGTCATACAAATACCACAAACATGATTTTCTAGAAG